TTTAAGGTATTTTTTAAAGTATTTGCCTTTTTTAAATTATGTGTATCTTTGTGTGTTTGTGGTAGGTATTAGCATGTGGTAGTCAGAAGAGGGTATGGTATTGCCTGAAGCTGGAGTTATGTGGTATTGAGAACTAAATTAGGGTCTACTACTGATCCATCTCTCCTTCCCCAAAGTTTTACTTCTTAATGCTTAAGTTTGGAAAAGCATATAATATGCTTTCTATATTGGACATGGTACTTTTTATCTCTAGAATTTTTATTTTTATTGTGTTTATATCAACAGTCTTCATATCTCTTGTTTTTTCTTGAACGTATGGGATACAGTATCAGCATAATATTAGAATGTGTTATAACACTAAGGTTTTGTGTATTAATTCTATCTGTATCATCTCTAGATCAATTTTGATTAACTCCAATTTCTTTTTTTATTGATTTTATTGAGCTACACATTTTTCTCTGCTCCCATCACTGCCTCTTCCCTCCCCTTAAGCCCTCTCCCATGGTCCTCATGTTCCCAATTTACTCAGGAGATGTTGTCTTTTACTACTTCCCATGTAGATTAGATCTATGTATGTCTCTCTTAGTGTCCCCATTGCTGTCTAGGTTCTCTGAGATTATGCTTTGTAGGCTGGTTTTCTTTATGTTTAAAAACCACTTATGAGTGAGTACATATGATAGTCGTCTTTCTGGGTCTGGGTTACATCACTCAAGATGATGCTTCCCAGCTCTATCTATTTGCCTGCAAATTTCAAGATGTCATTTTCTCTGCTGTGTAGTACTCCGTTGTGTAAATGTACCATATTTTCCAATATACATTCTTCAGTCAAGGGGCATTTAGTTTTTTCCAGGTTCTTTTTATGACAAACAATGCTGCTATAAACATAGTTAAGCAAATGTCCTTGTGGTATGATTGAGCATCCTTTGGATATATTCCCCAAAGTGGTATTGCTGGGTCTTGAGGAAGGTTGTTTCCTAATTTTCTGAGAAATCACCAAACAGATATCCAAAGGGGCTGTACTAGCTTACATTTCCACCAGCAATGCAGGAGTGTTCCCTTTACCCCACAACCTCTCCAGCATTAGTTATCATCAGTGTTTTTGATCCCTTACAGGTATAAGATGGACTCTCAGGATTGTTTTGATTTGCATTTCTCTGATGGCTAAGGATGCTGAGCATTTCCTTAAGTGTCTTTCAGCCATTTTGGATTCCTCTGTTGAGAGTTCTCTGTTTAGGTCTATACCCCATTTTTTATTGGGTAATTTATTATTTTGATGACCAATTTATTGAGTTCCTTGTATATTTTGGAGATCAAACCTCTATCTGATGTAGGATTGGTAAAGATCTTTTTCCATTCTGTAGGCTGTCATTTTGTCTTGTTGACCATGTCTTTTGCTTTACAGAAGCGTTTCAGTTTCAGGAGGTCCCATTTATTAATTGTTTCTCTCAGTGTCTGTGCTACTGGGGTTATATTTAGGAAGTGGTCTCCTAGCCAATGCATCAAGTGTACTCCCCACTTTCTCTTCTATAAGGTTCAGTGTGGCTGGTTTTATGTTGAGTTCTTTGATCCATTTGGACTTAAGTTTTGTGCATGGTGATAGATATGGATCTATTTTCATTCTTCTACATGTTGATATTCAGTTATGCCAGTACCATTTGTTAAATATGCTTTCTTTTATCCATTTTGTATTTTTTGCCTCTTTGTCAAAAATCAGATGTTCATAGTTGTTTAGATTAATATCCGCATCTTCACTTCGGTTCCATTGATCCTCCTGTCTGTTTTTATGCCAAAGCAGGCTGTTTTCAGTAGTATAGCTCTGTAGTAGAGTTCAAAGTCAAGGATTGTGATGCCTTCTGAAGTTCTTTTATTGTGCAGGATTGTTTTGGAAATCCCGTTTTTTGTTTTGTTTTGTTTTTTGTTTTTTCATATGAAGTTGAGTATTGTTCTTTCAAGGTCTATGAAAAATTTTACTGGGTTGATGGTCATTGCATTGAATCGGTAGATTGCTTTTGATAAGATTGCCATTTTTACTATGTTAATTCTACCTACCCAAGAGCATGGGATATCTTTCCACTTTCTGGTGTCTTTTTCAATTCTTTCTTCAAAGATTTAAAGTTCTTGTCATACAAGTCTTCCACTTGTTTGGTTAGAGTTACTCTGAGATGTTTTATGCTATTTGTGACTATTGTGAAGGGTGATGTTTCTCTGATTTCTTTCTCATCTCATTTATCATCTGTGTAAAGGAGGGCTACTGATTTTTTTTAGTTAATCTTGTATCCTGCTACATTACTGAAAGTGTTTATGAGTTGTAAAAGTTCTTTGGTAGAATTTTTGGGGTTGCTTAAAGTAAACTATTATGTCATCAGCAAACAGTGAGAGTTTGACTTTTTCTTTTCCGATTTGTATCCCTTTGATCTCCTTTTGTTGTCTTATTGTTCTATAGAGAACTTCAAGAACTATATTGAATAGATATGGAGAGAGTGGACAACCTTGTCTTGTTCCTGATTTCAGTGGCATTTCTGGGAGTTTTTCTCCATTTAGTTTGATGTTGGCTGTTGACTTGCTGTGTATTGCCTTTATTATGTTTAGGTATGTTCCTTGTATCCCTGCTCTCTCCAAGACCTTTATCATGAAGGGATATTCTATTTTGTTGAAAGGTTTTTCAGCATCTAATGAGATGATCATATGGTTCATATTTTTTCAGTTTGTTTATATGGTGGATTACATTGACAGATTTTCTTATGTTGAACCATTCCTGCATCTCTGGGATGAAGCCAACTTGATCATGGTGGATGATGGTTCTGATGTGTTCTTGGATTTGATTTGCCAGTATTTTATTGAGTATTTTGGCATCAATGTTCATGAGTGAGATTTGTCTATAATTCTCTTTCTTAGTAATGTCTTTATGTGGTTTGGGTATCAATGTAATTGCAGGCTCATAAAAAGAGTTTGGCAATGTTCCTTCTGTTTCTGTTATGTGGAACAATTTGAGGAGTATTGGTAGTAGTTTTTCTTTGAAAATCTTGCAGAATTCTGAGCTGAAGCCATCTGCTCCTGGGCTTTTTTTTGGTTGGGAGACTTTTGATGACTGTTTCTATTTTTTCAGCAGTTATAGGTCTATTTAATTTGCTTATCTGGTCTTGATTTAATTTTGGTAAGTGATATTTATCCAGAAAGTTGTCCATTTCCTTTACATTTTCCAATTTTGTGTATTACAGTTTTTCAAAATATGACCTGATGATCCTCTGTATTTCCTCCGTGTCTGTTGTTATGTCCCCCTTTTCATTTCTGATTTTGTTAATTTGGATATCCTCTCTCTGCCTTTTGGTTAGTTTCGATAAAGGTTTGTCTGTTTTGTTGATTTTCTTGAAGAACCAAGTCTTCGACTCATTGATTCTTTGTATTGTTTTCTTTGTTTCTATTTTGTTGATTTCAGCTCTCAATTTGATTATTTCCTGCCGTCTAGTTCTCTTGGGTGAACTTTCACTTCGTGGTGGCCTAATGTGGCAACCTGACATTATGTCACAAGCTTACATCCTTTGTTTGTCCGTCTCACCCCATAGCTTGGGTGTGTCACATCATTGCAGTAGAAAGGATGTGTGTGCACAGTGCAGGAAGCTATTTTGAGAAAGATCCCATTCAGGTAACTTTTATTGTAGTTGTTCCTAATAGCTGTTGTCATTAAGTTCTTATTGTGCCTAACTGATAAATTGTCCATAATCATAGTTGTATATATAGAGGAAAGAACATAGTATATTTAATACTTGGTACTGTCCGTAGGGCTAAGCATCTCCTTGGGGTCTTGGAAAGAAAGAAGTCTCCAACTTCTTTCCAAGGGGTTGGGGGCAACTATAGCTCATTTCAAGGTTTCTTTGCACCCATAACCCCTTTTTGTTAGAGATTTTTACACAACTATTGGTATTCGGGTATATAAAATAGGCAAATAAATGAAAGACAATTCTAGTAAAGCAATAGATTTAAAATAAAATTTATTCTTTTAGATGCACATTTTTTACTACCTATTAAAAAGAAAGCAAATTAGCATCCCAATGAGATGGTAGGACTGCTTATTCTTACATAAACCACTAAATCATGGCTGAGTATTTGATACTGCAGTGTGTAGAGAATCTTCAGCTGGCTTTAGGCCTGATGAATATTTTTGATTTTATAGTTGCCAGGGGTGGTGGTACATGTCTGTAACTCTACTACCTGAAACTGAGGTCAGAGGACCAGAATTTAAGGTCACCTGCAGCTCTATTGCAAGTTCTAGACTAGCCTAGGCTACATGAAATCCTGTCTCCAAAAAATATCAAATGAAAACTAAAATAAAAAAAAATCAGTTGTTGGTACTGAGAACACCACTTCACATAAATACATAGTACAGAATAGTAAACTTATATTTCAGGCCATTTAAGAAATTGTTGGAAATACTTTCTAACCCTTAGCCAAAATTCCTGTATTGATTTTCAGTGAAAACTAAATCAAATAGCAATTTGAAAAATCAAACAGTCTAAGACAATGCAATTCAAAGATGGGCTCACTTGAACTTACCGAGGAGCGGTGATGGGAAAATAAGAAAAGCCTTTGTTTTATGTAATTAAATCAGGATGTTTCTACAAAAGCGGAGAACTTTGCACAATAAAAACTCCACGGCTTCCAGCATAGAATCATCTGGAATCTGAGCAGAGAGGGTTGTAGGCAGCATTCACTGGCATCGTATGCCAACATGTGCAGTGCGCAGTGTGCGTGAGTGTTTTGGGAAACAAGGTCACTGTTTCCCAAGGAAGCTGGGTCACTGCACAACACGGGCACATGCTTCCAGAAATATGCCCGGTTTACAACACGTTGAGTTTCCTATTTGTTTGTGTTCATTGTGTATTCAGGAAGCTTTTACTGTTGCTCAGTTTTTCACAACCCCCTCATTCGGTTACCCAATGCCACATGGGATGTGACCCAGTGTGAGGAGCTGTGCACTATTTTACTTTATTGTTTTCTTCCAGGCAGGTAAAGACCTCTTTGCAGCCTCCTGGCCTGTGTTGTAGCCTGGGAGGTCCCCTGCAGGGCAGAGGCCACCAAAAGTCCAACTGCTTCACTTTTCTTCCTTCAAGAATCATGGCCCTTGGTCGCCTGCTCCATGTCTTACAAGGTATTGCTTCAGGAATTTGGGGGAGGGGGTTCATGGAGGGGCAAATCTGATCCTTCTTACTTCATTTTGGCTAACCATTGAAATTGTATTTATTGCGTTCTCATCTGTTCTTCAGAATCTTATTTTTTATAAACTTGGCTGTTTTTCTCAATGTAGTAGAGGAAACTTGCCTATGTGAATCTCGTCCTTGCATGCTGGACTCTTTATCGGCTTCATGACTCACCTTTCTCTGGGTGATACCTGCATAGTTGCTATGTCCATTTCTTTAATCTCTTTTCAACGTAACATAGCTTGCCTGTGGAATAGTGAGTGATTTGCCTTAACGAAGGTCCCACTCAATCCAAAACCTATTTAGCTGTCTCTCTGAACTACTTTAGAAGGGTCAGGTGTTTTATGGTATCAATTCAGGAGTTAGGAATGCAGGCTGCAGTGAGTAGCAGCTTTAAGGGAGAAAAATCCTTCCTTCAGGGATATCTGGTTTTTAAAAAGAAATATTCTGGGAGCTAGAAAGCAGGGAACTTTGAAGTCAGTTTTGTTCACTGCTGTATCATTTGCCTCTAAACCAGTAATGGGCATACGTTCACTCTTCGGCAAGGCTGAACTGGAGAATAAGTGAAGTTCACACACATGTTCGAAGGCTCATTGTTCTGGGACATGGAATGGATGAGCAAAACATCAGTCCAGTAAAGAGCTGTGCAGGGGGGCTGGGAAGGGTTGATTTTCCCTCTGTGTAAGTTCTCCAGCAGAATGGTTCTGACAGGTGTTGTGAAGTGATTTCTTCTGAAGCAGCTTGGGAAGACTCAAGTTCTAAAGACTTAAGAACTTTGGAGGGGAGGCTCTTTAGGGTTCAGGAAGTAAACAATTCAAAAGCTTCAGGAAGTCCCTGAAACAGACTAGATGCTACTAGGTCCCTTTGTTTTCAAGATCATTGTCTTAGAGTTTTACTGCCTTGAAGAGACACCATGACCATGGCAACTCTTATGAAGGAAAACATTTAATTGGGGATGGTTTATAGTTTCAGAGGTTTGGTCCATTATTGTTGTGGTGGGAGGCATGGTGGTTTGAGGCAGACATGGTCCTGGAGAAGGAGCTAAGAGTTCTGCGTCTGGATCTTCAGGCAGCAGAAAGAGACTGCCACACTGGACATGGCTTGAGTATCTGATACCTCAAAGTCTGTCCCCAGTGACACACTTCCGCCAATAAGGCCCCACCTCCTAATAGTGCTTCTCCCTCTGGGTCTATGAGGGACATCTTTTATTCAAACCACCACAGTCATATAAACAAAAAGGCTGCTAAGGAGACTAAGACTAGTCGAACTGCCTAGACGAGACACTCTGCAATCTGCCCAGTTGTCTGCAGGCTGTGCAGTGCACCTCAGGCTCCAGCTCTCACCAGTCAGTACCCATGCCGACACCTTTGACATCGGTTCTGCCATAAGTGACCCCTCACTCTCATACTCCCATAAGGAATCTCAGTAAGCTCATTGGTTCGTCAAGTTGGGTGTTGGTGGTTATCCTTACTTGGTCTGTGTCTGCTCCCTAGCTGGTGTGAGAAGACGCTTGTTTATGTCTCCCCAGGAACAGTGTCACACAGCAGCAGAATGATGTGGGCAGAACTTCGGATTCAGGCAAGAACACACCAGACAACGGGAGAATCTACGGCCTCTTGCATGGGAAGGTTCTCTTTGGGCTTAGCACAGCTAAGGGATGCTTCCCACTGGAGTCCTTTATCCATTCTGTATCTTTCTTCCAGCTCTTCTCTGGAATCGTGTCTAAGGAAAAATTACCGAGCTCATGTGCCCCTCCCCCAGCTGGGTTCTAGTGGCTGCCTTTATAGGTAGCAGTGCTTGTCTGATGGAAATGGGAGAGGACCACGCCTCTGCTGGAACTCCCCGCTCCTCGAGTCCATGGTTCATATTATTTGTCAATTTGACAGAATCTAGAATTACCTGGGAGAAAGGGCTCTGGGCATGCCTGGGAGGCATTGTCTTAATTACCTTAATTGAGGTAAGAGGACTGTCCCACTGTGATTGGCACCGGTCCCTGGCTGGGATCCTGGATTGGATAACCGAAGGAGACAAACAGAGCAACAGGATGCATGCATTGCTCTCTGTCCGTGCTAAGGAATAGGATGCAAGCAGCGTCTTCAAGCTCCTGCCTTGATTTCCCCACTGCAAGGGACTGCCCCTTGAACTGTGAATTAAAATCGATCTGTCTTCCGTGAAACTGTTTCTGTCTAGTTACTTTAGTGTAGTGACAGGAAGAGAAACTAAGTCCCCAAGATGTGACCAGGAGGGCAGGCACAATACCTGCCTAGCTGCTTTCCCTCAGGCCCCAGTGGCCTGTTGGTTTTGGAAGCCATGGGCTTCAGAGAGTCTGTGTTAACTACTCTCGTATGTTTATCCTTCCTCCAGTGTGCTTCATGTAGATGCCTGTTGCCCAACCTCTAACATTTTCATATACTTTTATTTAGTATCCAGACTCCATGTAGTATTTGCTTTGATGTCCTAGTATCACTCAGCCTCCTTCTGAGCTGATGGGCTGGAGTAGCCACTGGTGCCAGGCTCCAGTCATGCTCCTTGGGCTCCTGGAGCCTGTCTGGCAATGGAACTGAGGGAGAAGGAAGGCTGGAGTGGCAAGCTCCTAGGAGACTCCCACTTAATAATAATATGACTCTGACCCTAGCTGCTTTCTCGGGGTGTCTGCCAAAAGTCACAATGGGGTCAAATTAATTGGCAGAGGAGGCCTGTGTGTAAAGGCAGAAAGCAGCTGGGCAACTGTCTAATGAGACAGAGCCCAGCAAAGGTGCTGGGGTTTCAGTCAACATCCAAGACCTTGAGAAGAACCATGAGCTGTCTGTGGCATACAAGAGAAATGATTGCGCCTCCAGGGGCCCGATGTGTGACAAAGGCCCGAAGGACTGAGTCCATTTGACTGCCGTTGGGTATCGTGAGACGGGAGAATGCTCTGAAGAAGACCCAGTAGGGAGAGTGGTCCAAGAGAGATGGATTCTACAGGGCAAGAGAAAAGCTGGGGACTGTGAAGAAGGGAGGGAGAAGCCTTGGAGAAGAGGAGTTTGTGGGTCTGGGTGGTGAGGGAATCTTCCAGAGCCTTGTGAGGCTCCAAAGGCCATAAAAAAATGAAGGTCCCAAGGTCAGGCTTGCTGTATCTCTCAGTATCATGTGCCCATAAGGTCAGACCTGGACACTGCCACAGTGTCTTCCCGATAGCACACACTGGAGAATCACACATACAATCGCTCAAGTGGCCTTTTCTTCCACTGCTTGGACCTCAGCAGAATGCACAGCTAACTCAGTTCACTCCCAGGACAGCATGTACTCTGCATAAGTTGAGTATACCAGAAAGACTGCTACTTTATAAGCCTCAAATAGGCTAGAAAGGACCGCTCTGGGATACGGTTATTTAAAGATGGTTAAATGCTCTTTAGGAAACCACTGCCTTAGTACCTGCTTTTATTCCCAGTGCCAATGCCTCTGGCTGCAGAACCCGCTTTATGTTGCATTTAGTAGAAGCAATATGCCCCTGGGAAATGAGGCTCTGAGGTCCCAGACTGAGCCTTCGAGGAGTTCCAGGAGGTTGAACTGTTGGGGACGTGCCTCCAATTCCACTTCCAAAATTGCAGTGTAAAGCTCGTCAAAGAAGAGATGAAATGAGGATAATCATAATAGTCACAGGGAGGCCTGTGCTTCTGTACCACTTAGAGGTCAGAGATGCTTTCACAGCCATTAACCGCTTGCCCTCAGAGCATCCGCGCCCATCTCAGTGGGTTGTCAGGAAAATCAAAGGTTTCCCCCAGGAAATGAGACTACCGGCATGCCCCACTTTAAGCAAAACCTGCTGGGATCATTTAGGTAAAGAAAACCTGCCCCACAGAGGAATTTAACGGGGCTATTTGGAATGACCATTCCCGCAGCATGCAAAGCAATAAGAGACAATTTACTAGAATGCTTGATTGATTGACATCTATCTTGTTTAGGACCAGCTGCATGTCTGCAGCATCTCTTGGGTGCTGGTTGTGGTTGTTGGTGATGGGAGAAGTCAGCGATGAGTCCAACAGAGTCTGAGATAGGAGAATTTTGTGTGTGTCCATTTTCTGATCTTTTTGTTGAGCACATTGGTATCAGAAACTGCCTTCTAGGGGCTGAAGAGATTGCTCAGTAAGTAGAGTGATCATTCCAGAACCCACATAAAAAGCTGTTGTGGTGGCATGTGAATGCTTAAAATCCTGATTCGGGGAAGGTGGAGACAGTAGGGACCCTGGGTCTTGCTGGCCAATGAGCCTAGCCAAGTCAACGATTCCCTGGTCAGTGAAAGACCCTGTCTCAAAGACCAAGTTGGACAAGGTCCTGAGGGACGATGCCACAGTGAAAGGTAAGTGAGTTCTCCTCTCTTCTACTTGTGCGCGCGCACACACACACACACACACACACGCTCGCGTGCACACACACACCTGCACATATGTAAACACACGCACACAAACAAGAAACTGCCCTATAGATGATCCGAACACCACTCACCACTCATACTAGGATGGAGCTTTTCTCTGACACCCCAGTCGTAGAACTGGCCCCAGAGGCTGTCCTTTACAGAGCGCACAGCTGCAATGTTAATACTCAAACATAGCCCATGGTCATGTTTGCTCTCTGGAGAAAGCTGCCTTCACTGAGGGAGAAGGATAAACACACACACACACACGGACACACGGACACGGACACACGGACACGGACACGGACAGGGAGTGTATAGACCAGGGAGGGGGAGGGTCCTGCTTCCTCCTGGGCTGCTTTCCTGGACCTCATGATACCACTCTACCTATGAATGTACTGTCTGACTGTGCAATGATCCAGAAGCTGCTTCAACCAGGGTTTCCTTTCCTCGCAGTCAAAGGCATCGCTGGTAGACTCCACTAAAGGGAAGCAAGATGCACATGCATTTGCAAAGGCGGTTCAATATGTGTGTTTAGAGTTGGGCTGCAAACAGAGGAAACAACCGCAATTGGAAATACACAAATGCTGACCCAAGGGAGATCAGTTAAATCAATATTGGAATGCATCTGCTGTGGTCTGAATCTGAAACATCCTATGCAGGCTCATGCTTTGAATCCTGGATTCCCACCTGTTGGCGCTGTTCTGGAGAGCTGGCTAACATTTGGGAGGTGGGCTCTGACTGGTAGAAGTGGGTGGGTGGGTCTTTCAGGTTATGCCTGCCTCTGGTTTCCACTGCTCTTTCTGCTTGCTGGTCAACCAGGATGCCCCACCGCGTGCTCCCATGGACATATCTTCCCCACCACAATAGGCTGAAGTCCTAAAAACAGTGAGCCAAAACCAAAACAAAAACCAAAAACCTTTCCTCCATTATGGAGTTTCTGTATCTACTTTATAGATACAGTAAAGTAACTTGTACAGAAATCCATCCAAGAATATACGCTGCAACGTCAAAAGAAGACATCTAACTTTCTCTTCTGATAAGGAGCTCTGGGTTTTGTGAGTTGTGCATGGAATGCTGGCAATGGTATGCAATATCAGGACCAGACAGGCTGCTCTGGGGCGAATGGGATATGAAGTGGTATATTAGCCACTTTTCTCAGGGATTGTTTTGCCTCATAGTCTGAGTATAGCCTATCACGGCCAGTGAGCCAGCAGGAGCATGAGACCTCTGGTGTCGTTGTATCTGCTGTCAGCAGGCAGAGCAAGAGGAATCCTTGTATTCTGCTTACATTCTTCCTTTTATTCTGTCTAAGATCCCAGCCCAAGGAATGGTGACATCCACCTCAATTAACTGACTTGAGTCTTCCCACCTCAATTAACAGACTCTGAAAACTCCTGATGTAGAATTCTCATCTCACTTTGGTTTAAGACGTACAAGGCACTCAGTGCTCTGTCTCCAGAAATGCGTGGTTTGTGCTCCTCCCACATCTCTACAGACTATGGGTTGGAACCTGAATCCACACCTGTCATTCCCCCAAAGCCTGTGCTGCCTACTTCGTCTGTTTCCTGCCTCAGTTTCCTTTGGCTTCCTTCTTTGTTTCCAGCTGTGAGAAGGAAGGAGAAAAGGAGGCCAGCCCATACATCACCTGAATGTGTTGATTTTTGTATCTGGACAATGGCCCAAATATCACTCCCTGTTCTAGGAGGGGAGGCTATGACCACTCTGGGTCGAGGATCAGTGTGTTCCATCACTATGGCAAGGAACAGACACAGCCATCGTGTGACCTGTGGCAAGAGCGTTTCAGTATATTAAATTTATTTCCCATTTGGAATGATGTTTTCTGTTTTCTATTAAATGAATAGCCTCAGAGCATCCTGGAGAGAGGACATAGCAGGCTGTGGGGCTCCTGGGCCTCTTGGGAAAGTGAAATTGCCACAGTCCTCTTCCAGGATGGAGGGTGCTGAGGGATAGAGTCCTAGCTTATGTGTGTCGGGGGTAGGAGGACCTGAGAGTGAAGGAGGGGTGGACAGATGAGCAGTTTGGGCCCTGGTAGGAAAGTGAGGAGCCTCTCTACCTCGCAAAACTCTGCCTTTGTGTTCAGCTCAGCTGTGCCTCAGGACTTGACCTTGTGATTGTCCTTCCCAGCTCTCTTTTCCTCTCCTCAGTGGCTGTCACTCTAGGTCACTTCTACTTCTAACCTTCTCAGAACCTCTGTCAGCACCCAGAAGCCTGGTGAAGGGGATAGAAGGGATAGTGGATGCTTTCTGTTGTTTGAGATAGGGTTTCTTTATTTCAGGTTGGTCCAGGGCTCACTATGTAGTCCAGATGGGCCCTGACTTACCATGCCTCTACCTCAGCCTCCTTAGCCATGATTATAGGTATGCCCCAGCACATCCAGGCAACATCCAACCCAAACATCTTGCTCCCTCAACCCAGATCAATATTTTGGCGGAGCTAATTGGTGTATAAGGAAGAGGATGAGTAACGGTTGAAATACATGCAATATTTCTTGAACAAATGTCATTGAAAACTCTTGTTTGTTGTAGGTCTTTTCTTAGTTGTTTTGTATATAGGACATACAATCTGTGCCTGCCAAGGGATTCAGCATTATGAGGGGGGCAGCTGAGAAGATGAGGGGAATGTGGTATGTTCCAGAGAGAATCATCTTGCTAGTGAAGAGGCTGGGAGTCAGAAGCGTGGCAGAACTCTCCTCAGAAGACATCTCCTCAGAGAACATCTCTTCAGAGTACATCTCTTATCTCCTCAGA